GACCCACCCAAGGTCAGATGACTGTCACCCGCCTGGTGCGTGTGCTGGAGGAAGGAAAGCGCCTGCCCAACCCTGCAAATTGCCCCAACGAGGTACAGAGCTCTACGGCAATGCTTTCTCCTTCTGAGGGAGCTCCAATATTTTATGGTTGTCACTATAAAATATGGTGGGGGGGGGGTTCCCTTTTAAAATAGAAAAGAAATTGAGGACACCAAATCCTCAATTTCTTTTTCTGCAGCCTCAGCACTCACAGTACAGAGGCTCCTCCCCATTCATATTTACTATCAGCTGTTTCTGAATGGGGAGGAGCCTCTGTACTGAGTGCTTCTCCCCATTGAGGAAAACTTGAATGAACAGGCTGTGATGTAAATCACATTGCGCACCCCTAAGGCCGGCCCCGTTGTTTCCTGAATTAGAATAGTGAGGCGGAGCAATCCTGAGGATGAGAATGAATTCCAGTAATCTTTAAAGCTTAATATTAAATAAACACTTTGCACATTTAGTAGGTAGGTAGGTAGGTAGGTAGGTACTGGGTCATGTAGCTTTTCCAGTTGCTCTCCTGGCTGGGAGACCTGGATCCTCCATGACCTCCTCCTGGTTGTAGCTCTTCCAGCAGTGCACCTCAGAGGTCGTATGATTTCCAAACCTCTCGGTACTTCAGTCTGCTCCTTTTTTCTTTGCATAGGGGGCGGAGACATCACTGCACAGAATAATGGCCGCCGTCCTCACATTCAATATCTATCCCAGCGCACTCCTCACCAGTAAACCCCTTGAGATGGGCGCTGAAATGACTGTGGATGGCGCCGCTCTGAGCAGTATAGGACGCAGGATGTCACCAGCACCCCAGAGGAATGTTTTCAAAGCAAATGTCTTTTATTGGCAATTTGGGACTGCGCAGGGTGCCTTCCTCAGGCTCAGTATGGCAATAATGCCTTGTACAGTCACCTATATTGTACAAACACACCGCATGTGAAAGGTTTGAAAGAAGTCTGGAACCCCAACCCCTGTGATGTCATATTGACATCACATTCCTGTTAGTAAACCATAGTGTTATATGGATGCAGCGGACTGGCACAGACACGTGTATAGAGTCATATGTAGTCACATGTCCTGATGGGGACGATGCTGTGAAGCGATGTGGGTCAGTGTCTGTGCAGCGGTGGCGGTCGTTAACAGGTAGCAATTGCCGCTGTGTATACAGACCCACATCGCGGTCAGTCCGCTGCTTACTAACACCGTGTGATTTACTAATGTTTTTACATCATGGCGGCAATATGACATCACTATGACATCACAGGTATTGGGAGCCAGACTTTTACAAACTTTTTTTACTAGGGATGCACCGATACTAGTACTTGCCCAAATGCTCTGATACCTACCCCCCATACTGGAACTTCCGGTCAGAGAGATTTCCTCTGACCCAAAGAGCTGCGAGGGAACATGGAGCCATCTTCTTGGCCAATCAGGAAGCCGGGTGGTGGTTAATGACTCGCTGCCTGGTTGGCCAGGAAGCTGGCTTCCCAACCAATCAGCATGACCTGGCTCCCGGCTTCCTGATTGCCCGGGAAGCCGGCGCCATGCTAGCGGTAGTACGTGTATTGGCGTCGCCCTACTTTTCACGGGTTCTGGCACATGTGGTGTGTTTGTACATTGCATCATGGCCATACTGTGCCTGAGGAAGGGACCCTGCGCAGTCCCGAAACATTGCCAATAAAAGACGTTTTCTTGAAGACATTTCTCCGGTGTGCTGGTGACATCCTGCGTCCTGTCTGAGCATTTGAGTGATGGCGGCATTTAGTAAAACAAGTAGAGGATAGAAGAGGAGGATCGGGGGAGGGAATAAAACTGGGCGATTCCTGACAAAGAATGGGAATAGTCCCTACAGAGAACCAATCAGAAGATGTATCCGTCCCCCGGGAAGATAATCACCTCCCACTAATAGAAGAGACCAGGCATGATGACATGGATAGCGCACATTAGTAAGCGCATGTGCACAATTTTGCATGTGGAGAAATACTTTAGTTCTGCTTTCTAGAGAGGCGATGATTGCCCCCCTTGTAGAGCGGTGCCCCCTCCTGGCTGTGGAGCTGACCTGTCACTTTGTCTCTCTTTTGTAGGTGTACCAGCTGTTATTAAAGTGTTGGGATCAGAACCCTCTCAGCAGAGCCACCTTCCAGGAGCTGATCCACGGCTTCACAGAACTCGCCAATAAAATGTGACCGCACGCGAGGACGGGGACTCCGCTGCTTCCACGGATGTGCCAATTCTAGCCAGGACGCCGGTCTTCCTGTCTGCAACCGTCCCATGCTGCTGGGAGGAGCTTCTGTGACATCATCATCGAAGGACAAAGACTAATCTTCCTTCTTGTAATATATAGATAACAATTAAGTGAAAGGGATGAGAGAGGAACATCAACCCCCCCGGGGGTGCGGTGTGGGGGACACAATGCATTCTGGGAAGACTCTCAGTGCGGACTTCTTATAACAAAGACTTCAGAGGAAAACAACCAATGCAGCTTCCAGTCAGTCATTCGGGATCATTCATTGGCTGAAGCATTGACGGGGGTCAATTTGCAATTGGTTTAAACTTTCTCACCCCTCCGATGGATTTTAGGAAGATTCTGAATGTTACAATTGTCTTTTTTTTTCCATAGCTTGCCTCCTTTTTACCTCCCTCAAGCTTTTTAATTATAATTTTTTCCCCCAAAAATGTTCATAAAAACACAAAAACAAAGTTTAAAACCAGCCGCGGCTTTCTTTTGCTTTCAAGCAAATTGTTTCTTGAAGCAGGTGAAGGTTATCCCTTTACGATCCAGTTCTATTGGATTTTAGTTACACGGCAGCAGGAAGTGCTCAGCTCGGCCCGTGGAGACTTTTGTACGGGTGATATGAACCTCGGCAGCAAAAGGAACGAGTTCCTTTACAAAGAAAGTACGTTCCTTCAGAGCGGCTGTGAAATCTGAAGCCAACTGCTGTGGTTTCCATTGGCGACTTGATTACTGGCTTGTGATGGGGCAGAGAGTACAGAATTTACAAATGGTCCTCTTCCTTCTGCCCCTACTTCCCACCAACCCCCTCCCCTCCCAGTACCAGGGAACCGGATTCTTCTTCTGCCCCGGTGTGAATTGAATTTCTCCTTCTGGATAATCACCTCCACGTCTCCCGGTTATTTATAGACAAGTCATGGGGGGCGGCGGAGTGATGGGAGGATAAAATACAGATTTGTTTTTCTGCATTTACATTTTTGTGATATTATAATGTGAACATAAAGCACTTTGTTACCATTTCTATAAATAAATGTTATAATGAACATCGTGTGTCCGTCTCATCCGCATGTTCTCAGCTGAATCCCCGGAGGTGGAAAGACGAGGCGTAGCTCTGCGTTTACAGAAAGCACATTAAGGGCCCATTCACAGCAGATCTATTGAGTTAGGTTTTCCAACAGAAGGGCCCCCCCCCGAAACAATGAATGGCTGTGAATGGGGCTGGTTCACACGGCTGCGTTCCAATACAATGTAGCCCATGCACTGCAAGGGATCCGGTGCAAACTAGCCCATGCACTGCAAGGGATCCGGTGCAAACTAGCCCATGCACTGCAAGGGATCCGGTGCAAACTAGCCCATGCACTGCAAGGGATCCGGTGCAAACTAGCCCATGCACTGCAAGGGATCCGGTGCAAACTAGCCCATGCACTGCAAGGGATCCGGTGCAAACTAGACCATGCACTGCAACGGAGCCGGTGCAAACTAGCCCATGCACTCCAACGGAGCCAGTGCAAACTAGACCATGCACAGCAACAGAGTCAGTGCGAAATAGCGCATGCACTGCAAACTGAGCCGGTGCAAACTAGCCCATGCACAGCAACAGAGTCAGTGCGAAATAGCGCATGCACTGCAAACGGATCCGGTGCGAAATAGCGCATGCACTGCCAACTAGCCCATGCACTGCAAACGGATCCGGTGTGAACTAGCGCTGTTGATTTTTCGGTGCCCTTCCGTTAGCGTCCGTTGACAAGCAGATTGGAAGGAAATCAGAAGGTACAACTGCAAATCAATAGACCCGCCATTGGCTTGTGATTTCCTTCCACATTTGCTGTGAATGCCCCTAAACTCTGGCCGTGTTGGAGCACCACTGAAAACAGCGACCACATTTCTGTGCTCTATTCTCTCACACATGTCGCCGCCCGTTAAGTACATCTGATCACCACCATAAACCTCAGGTCACTATAAGGCCAATGTTTGTGGACACCTGACCATCGCACCTACACTATATGGTGACAAACAAAAACCCCTGCAAATGATTGCGTTTAGTTTCCAGTGAAGGTTCTGTTCTGCTACATGATACAAAAACATTATAAACAATTGTGCCTCTGTAGGAACAGTGTAGTGAAGGGCTCTTTCCTGTTCCAGCACCATTGTACCCATACGTCCAAAGCCAGCTCATAAGGATTGGTTTGAGGAGTTTGGTGTGGAGGAACTCGAGTTTCAACCCAACTAAACACTCTCGGGATGATTTGGAATGCCGGGTCTTCTCCTCCACCATCAATACCTCACCTCACAAATGCTAATTTGCCCGAATGGGGACAATTTTCTTGTGGAAATCCCTCCCAGGAGAGTGAAGGCCGTTACAGCCAAAGTGTCCCAACTCCATATAAATGGCCAAGGTTTTGGAAGGGGATGTCCCAACAAGCTCAGATAGGCAGCATACAGCATTACTCGTATATAAAGCGCCCACCATACTTCCCCCAAGGTATAACATTTCCCACCCCCCTCACCCCCCATGAACAGAGGCCACCTGGATCAATTATAAAGTAGAACCGTACTAGATTTTTTTTATTGCTTGATATTTACAAAAGAAACTGAAATGTTTGCAGGCCGGAGCAAAGGATAATAACCAATGAAAGTTACTTAACCAAGACATGGCTAAGGGTAGAAAATCTCTAAAAATCTTCCGGAAGATTACAACCGTTTCATATAACAATTCAGCCTGAGTGACTTCAGATTTTTGTTTTAGGCAAAATACAACTGACTCGGCGCCAGACTACATGGCTTGCAGAGACACGGGAGGTTGTGCATCTTTGGGTGTGTGAGATGGTGGGAGACCTACAAAGAAAAACTAATAAACCTTTTTCCTCTTAACATAAGAGTCACCGTAGCTGTCCGCGGATGTCGGAGCGTATTGCTGCGTGTATCCGATGCTGCCCACCTCCGGGCTGGAGAGAATGTACGGCCTTTTCTCCGTGCTTATTGCCTACAACGAGGAAAACAGAAGATCGGTTCATGAATGATAAAAAGTGTATGACTGGGAAAAGAAAATCTGGTATTCTAGAGGATTTATACAGCAGCAAATGTTTGGCAAGGCGATGACTAAGGCTGGGTTCACACCTAGGCGTATTGAATATGCACGTTTGTCGCGTGATTCGTGTCGCACGTTTTTACCGCGATTCGCGGTAAAAAACGCGCAACAAACACCCGTTTCCGAGGGCTACTTGGCTGTATCCCAATGGAAACGCGAGACCAAAACGCCCCAAAGTAGTACATGTACTTCTTTGGGCGTAGGCCGTTTTGTATCGCGTTCGGATGGGCGGAAATACAGCAAGGTGTGAACCAGACCCATTGAATACAATGGGATTTAGATGTTTGAGCGTTTTGTAGAGCGTTCGTCGAGCGTTGAACGAGCTACAAAACGTTCAGGCCTGATCGGTCAGCAGCAGGAAGTGTTGTTCCAGGCAAGATCTCTTGCAGCAACTTCACTGTATATACTTGCCCAGGAAAACTATACAGTGAGATGAAGATTTTGGGGTTTACATGCATGCCATAAATTTCTTTGTCAGACACTGTAAGCCAGCCCCCGTATAACCCTCCTCTACCCAACATGCCTCAGTTACTTACTAGTGTCCTAGGAAGATAAATGTCTTTTCTCCGGCTCTGCGTAGACAGATCTGACCACATTTTGTTAACAATCCATGCGCAAAATTAGAAACAAAAAGGTCATTCTATTGCCTCCCTCACTAGATCGCTGCTGGAGCTGGTCTCTAGATGGCAGCTCTGCAGATTGGACCTTCTCAAGCCTGACTTAGGTGTTCTGTACCTGGACCCCGCAGGGCTGGACATGTGACCTTCGGCCACTGGGCTCTACATTCTGCCACTTTCCTGACCTGAGTGCGCTGGTAGCTGCGGAGTGCTTTCCGGGTCCAGAACCATGGCACGGTCCCAGACCCTGAAGACTCTCTTAGGGGTCAGACCATTGGGGTTAAAGCACCAGGAGCAAACTCTGTTTCCACTGCTCAGGGCCTTCCACTTTTCCACCACCACTGGTTTCACCACAGTAAGGGTTAACACTGGTGGGCTGAGCACTGACATCATCCCCTGTGTGGAGCTCTACATTTGCTTTCCTAATCAACATAGAGGAAGAACTATCCTGCTGCTGAAACTCTGTTCTGTTCCCACTGCCCGCCTACAATGACCTGGTCACCTCCAGTTGTCTGACCCGCATCAGCAGCAGCTGCCTGGGTGTGGGAGTACCTGAGGCCTTGCCATGCACTTTGGGCCTAGTTGCAGTACTGTGACAGCAGCATGCCTACATATAGACATAGGGGGCAGTCCTGCTGCTACTATGGCTGACCTCAGCTCTTTGGAGGCATCTATACGGTATCCTTGAATAGAACTGGGGCCTGCAATCTGAAACCCGGTGTCCCTATAGTTAGAGGGAAATGTTGCGGAGGAAGACTCTCATGATGCAGACCCAATGTTTTTTGCCCTTGGTAATGCTTTACCAGAAGACATGCTGGGTAGAGGAGGGATGATATGGGGGCTGGCTTACACCAGAGCGATCCTTCTGCAGATGGCAGTAAAACACGACTGGATCTGAATTCACCTAAAATACCATTTTACGCACCTTTCCGGCGGCCGATGTAAGCGGTCACTCCTCTGCTCCCCGTCAGCTGCAAGAATTTGACCATCCACTAAGTCAAATGATTGCTCCCCTCACCGGCTTATACATAACGGCAGGACATATAAACCAGCAGCGGCACCACAGCGGCCGGGGATGCAAGAATTTGACTGCATGCAGCGGCTGGGGAGCGGAGAACCCGCAGCCTTTCCTTACACGGACTGTTGGAATAGTAAGTGAACACTTCTTTTACGGGTGGGCTTTTTTGGTAAAAGGGACCCTGTGGTGACAGGCTCACACCCCGTGACTAATCCAGAACACACAAGTAGGTCTAAATGACCCAATATGAATGCTTATTCTGGGTCTGTGACTCACAAACTACTGAGGCCAAAGAGTTCGCATTGTAGCCAAAACCTAACGTTTCCAAAAGGCATTTCTCTGTTATGTTCACACACAGTTCATAGTTCGCCGGGTTGAAGTCCAGCGAGTTCAGGTATATTTTACACTGGCAATATAACCGTACCTTCTCTACAGTCAGCGTGGATCCAGCTTGGTACGAGCCTTGTGCATTCGTATAGTAGGTGGGCGGGGCCTGGACATACGCATTATAGTCTCCGTAACCCAGCGTGGAAGACTGCTGCAGACAGGAAAAGGAATTAGAAAGAAAGCAGGTTCATTTCTGATGTCTGACGAGGAGATTATAAAAAGGTTATACCTGATAATTTTCCCCTTCTAGTGCTGTCTGGTACGAGTCTCCTGACTGCTCCTAACATAGCAACAGATGTAAAATAAATATAGACTTGTCAAAAATGTCCACCCACACCGCGCACAGAAATTATAAGTGTTCATTCTACATGCCGAGCGCTCGCAACACGTCTGGGGGGAACTAAAAAGCTTACAAACAGCTCTGCGCCGAAAAAAAAAGGGCAAATGCAGATAGACTTTGGTTGGCGTTCCATCAACATATTGCTGGTCTTGTGGTCAGAAGAAACGCTGCACTATGCTAAATCTTCCACCTCCTCGGGATTAATCTGTGCACCTTTATTACCTAGTCTGGCGCTTACAAGCAGCCGTCATCGATCGTGCGTCCAGGGAGAGTGATTGATTCCTAACCACATGTAATCATATCACATACAAATACATGCGGTGTGCCGGAATTTAAATGCAGCGGCTGCTGTCACCTGATCACCCGATAATTTGAAGGGGTGACAGCTGCCGCTTGTCAACAGCAGATTTGGAATTCCTGCTGCAGGAAAGCGCAAGTTCCTGACACAGGAATCCCTAATCACACACAGATATAGGTGTGCATGGGGCCTTTGATGTGGGAAACAAAATGTACAGCGAATAAAGGTGCCCATACACCTTACGACCATCGCAAGACTTTTGTCTTGCGATGGTCGTATGCTTATTGAAAGCCCGTACGATCTGCCCACCTTGGACGGGCAGATCGTACTTGCGATCATCGAAAGCCCGCCCCGCTGAGGGGCGAATTCCGATGACCGCAATGCGCACACCGGCCCGTTCCACAGCTATCGAACGAGCAGGCTAGAAACACGCCGACAATCGTACGATTCCCGGCTGGTTTTCGAACATGCTGGTTCGACAAAAGACGTGCGACCGTACAGTAGAAACGGTCGCACGCCTTCCATACACTGTACGATTCTCGTACGATTGCGGGATTTCCCGCGATTCTCGTACAGTGTATGGGCACCTTAAGACCTTTGTCACAAAGAGATTTGTTCTTTAAAAGGAACATTTTTTTTTATTCATCACATAGCTGGGTGTTCAAAGCTGCCATGTGAATGTGCCCTTGGGGATGGATTCAGTAACCAAAATCTGATCCATGTCAAGCTTCTGGTGAACAGACGGATGGAGCAGGGAAGAGAAGGTTATGACAAAAGCTCTGGGTCACCGTCAGGTGCCTGTCAGTGATTGGCCAGCAATAGTGGTAGATGGCAAGCATCTCTGCGAGAAGGGAGAATCAGTGCTGGGTTTAGGTGGGTCTTCGCTCCATTAGCCTACCAGATGGGAGGACAAGCCATCACTGGCTGTGGGGAGCTGAAGGGGTTGACGCTTGCTGACACACAGTTGAGTGGATCCTCAATTATGAAAGACAAGTCTCATCTTCAAGAAGAGCAGCACTGAGAATGGCACAGTAAACCCCAGCAGCTCAAGCAGAACTCCGGGCAAATCAAATCCTAACACTG